GTTTTTTTTGCGTTTGTATCAAGGTTGGACTGTATAAACCTTATTTGGAAAACCACTTTCAAATTAAATTAATCTCTGATGGTACCTGCTGACTGGCTATGGCAGGTGGAGCAACAGCATCATATAAAGTAAAGTTTGTCTAAACAAGAAGCCACTGTGTCCTTGTTGGCCGGTCTTCCTTTGTTACTGCTCTTCTTTTCACCTTTTCTATCCAGAATATCCATTAGCCTCCCAAAAATAGAGTATTGTCTCATTAATATATCAGAAGTGCAGCAGCACAGTGTATTTGCCAAGAGAGCAGTGAACATAATTTCAGTGATGAATTGTTTTAGCCCAGAACCAGGAATTTTTATTTTTTATTTTATTTTATTTTTTTCTCTCTTCCTTGAAATCAGTTTGTTCTCATGTGTGTTTGGAGAGCCGGTTACACAGGATTTAAACTGAATAACAAATAAAACATATTTATTCAACTCAGACCATGACAACAAAAATCAGGGTGTCAATTTTAAAAACATTTACTGATGTTAACTTGAACTGCTGAATTATTTATGTTGTCATTTCAATTCGGTGCACTTCAATGTCTAAGGCACCAAAGAAAATGAAATGGTTGTCTTTTTAAGGCGTTTCTTTACAGTAATACTCTGTAAAGTAATCTTACCTTACATGTATTAAAAAGAAAACCTCAACAGACAACCCTCTGAGCACTAGGCGACAGTGGGGAGGAAAAATGCCCTTTTAAGAGGAAGGGGCTTGAGCACCGGCCCTTTTCTCGAGGCAGTTGTTTTTCTGTGTGTGTGCCTGTTGAGTCCTGCCTGTGCCCCTCAACAATAATATTTAACTATTAATCAAAGTTTTGCTGAACATGAGGATCTGGCTTGCATCAGTCACATGACTACCATTAACCAATGATCACCCTTGATGCTGGTTACGAGCTAGAACGAGCTCGCAAAGAGCACGCGCATTTTTTGCCATAAGCGGTGCAGGAGAAACAAATTAATTGGGAGATGCAGACTGATGCAACAAAAACAGTAAGTGGGGTATACAGTGTAGACTATAGACAATAGCGTTCAGGAGTATAAGTAGTGCTGGTCATAGCTGCTAGCTAACTGGCTATGGGTGCCATTGGGTCTGTAGCTCTGTCTACCGTTTTAGGGAACATATTTCATTTTAAAGTAAGTTACAGGGATTTTCCTGCCTTTCTGGAGGACTTATATTTCACTAAAAACTGTATAATATGCATATCCACATAATTATGGATTATTGTAATTATATCTGTTTATACATTTTCGATATTGTCTTCAGTGATTTTCATTTCTTTAGACTCTACTTCAGGCCAGAGTTGGTCAAACATTTGTAGCTTGAAAGTTTCACCAGGGAGGAGCACTGATTTTTCTTTGGCCTGTAAAATGACACCATCAAAATGTCTAGGTGTACGGCGTAATCCTTAGGAAATTCCCAAGTTGGTACACTGATTGGCTATCCTATGGCACGGTCAACTGCATCTACAGGGCTGGCAGGACTTGACTGTTGCCTGCAGCACATCCACAGGTTTTTGAGTTTATTCTTCAACCAACATCCACATGCAATTTCAAGAGCTGTCTGCCTTGGCTTGACTGTTTTTCTGCCAGCAGTGACAGAGGAGACGTCGAGTGCAGGGGTGCCCTGGGAAGACCTCAGATCTGCAGTTGTCGACTGCGAGCACAGGTCCACCATGTTTCCTACAAAATTAGAGAGCTGTTCTGTGGTGACATCGTCTGGGCAACCTGACAGAAACTCATCCCACTTCTCAGGTGTAATGTTGAACAATTGCCTTATGAGTGATGTGTATATATCTATAGATCGAGATATAATATCCCTTGGTTGTGACGTCAAAGTGCATGACAACCAAACTAAACTGTTGCCTATCAACCGCTACACATGTCTGTGGCTGAATGCCCAAAACAGTTTTGTTTTTTTGTTTTTTGTTTGTTTTTTTGTTTTTTAAATGTAGAAAAAATGTAGGGCCTATATCAGGGGTGGGCAACTCGCTGTGCTGGATCAAGAACACATCTAAAACCTGCAGGACACCAGCCCTCGAGGCCTGGAGTTGCTCTTCCCTGGTCTATATGGTCCATCCAAGTGATGTTTGAAGTAAGTGATATGGTTAAAAAACTGAAGCTTTCTGGGAAATATTGAAATGATATTAAAATGTGCTCTAATATTAAAATGTGCTGAAACCCACACCATGTTCAAAGATTTTATTAGAATCATGTGTGTAGGCTGGATTTCAAAAGGTAACTATAAACCATCCAACCCGATCTGGAAGTGCCAAAAACAGCCTTTATCTGGTGTTGACGTGTTTTCCACGTCCCTCCTGATGGCTTCGTCCCAGAGTCAGAAAGATGCATGCTAGTTTTACTAGCATCTGGTGCTAAATTGCCACGGATGTGAGTTGTAAAGTGCTTAAGGTGTATGTTGGGTCTGTGTTTCCACAAGCCCCGCTAATTCTAGAGACTTATTCATCATGAAGAAAACAAGACAGTCGATCGATTACTTGCACAAGGGAG